AACGCCACAGCATCTATATATGGTTGCGCATCGTTCATTGACGTGGTCAATCCAACAATACGTCACATAACTCAATTTCGACCCTCCACATTAATGAATATAGTACACACATGGCAAAACTGCTATCCTATACGGATGCAATCGATTAACATTATCAACGCGCCAACATTTTTTGATGTTATTATCAGGATTATGAAATCTTTCATGACGGCCAAATTGAAAAACAGATTTCACGTCTATTCGCACATGTCGCTGAGCTGTTTTAAGGATGTCCCAACAGATATCTTGCCAATCGAGTATGGCGGCACTGATGGTACAATTCAGGAATTAACTGGTAATGCGAACATATTAACAAAGAAAAAAATAAACTTCTGACAGCAATTGTTTGGATATTAATAAATAAAAGCAAAATATTCACTGTATTTTGAAATATATATATGAGGATTATTTATTTAGACTCGTTTAATTGTTTAATTCAATATAATACACGTAATATAACATTTATTTTTGTAGATTATTGGAAGAAATTGATAGAAGAAAATCGCGATTGGATTATGAGTGATGAGAATAACAAAATCGAATGACATTTTGGAGCAGTGGATTTAAAATCGGCAACAAATAATTGCTCTTAAAATATGCTTGGATGTATTTATTATAATATTTTATTGTTAGTAATGTAAGACGAATTTTGTTTGTTTTGTAAGTTTTGCGAAAAAAATTATCTTTCTTTATCTTTATTTTAGGGTAATTCTATCAATGACACAATACTAGATACTGAATAAAATATAAAATTGTTAGAAAAGATAATAGTGTATCATTAGTTTATATTATTAAATTACATAAAGGCGAACCAAAAATTTATCTCTTTCTTTGTACTAACAGTAAAAGAATCTGTTGTAATTTATTTCTTCTATATTTATATATTTATATATGTATATATGTATATTTTTTAATTATCTATTTTATATGCCTTGTCAATATAATATTATGTGTAAATAATGATATACATAACTATATTTGTCCATATGACATATTGTATTTCGTATTTATTTTACAATTTTATTTAACACGTCAGATAC